TATACTATAGTTGCACTCTACTAGTAATAAATCTTATAAATAGTATGTAACTAAATACTATTATCTATTATTTAAATCTAATTATAAGAGGATTATACTTAGTATGAAACCTGATACATCTAACTTCATCTAAAATTTTCAATCTAAATTAAAGTGTATAAGAATTAAAATCTTTATAAATATACTTTTCAGCTCTTAAAAAGCTTTCTACATCTTAATATTGAGGAGGATCATCTTTTAGTTCTGATCTTTCTATATTATACTTTTTATAAGTGTAGATAAGAGCTGTGCTTTCACTATAAATCTATCTATAAAATAATAGTAAAAATTTATAAACCCTAGAAATATTTAAATATCATGAATGCACTTAAGTTTCAGTTAGAAGAGGATAGTATCAATTTAGCTCTATTTCATTTTAATGCTATTTATACTAATTATAAAGCTGAGGAAATTAATATAATTCATATAGAATATATATTTACTAAGTTTTATATATAATTTATAGGTGCACAGATGTTTCAGTATTATATATATATACTTATAATGCTCTTCCTTCAAGTTTGAGTAGATAATAATATCATTTAGGTAGATAATACAGTAAATATCTAGAAGATTGCTCAGAGCCTTATTAATATAAGATTAGAATGTTACTAATATATTTATGAGTCTGAAGGAAACCACTTAGTATTTAAAATAATTATAATATGTTTGGAAAGCTGTTTTTCACTTATCATCTTTATATATGTGTAGTTGATGATATGCATTGCAGAGATCTAATTATAAATAGACTTTTATACTAGCTAGTCTGTTAATTATTTTACTAATTAAGGGGAGAGGATATCAGTTTTTTATGCTAATAATATTAAGCCTATAATAGTCTATATAAAGATGTATAGTTCTATTTTTTTTCAGAATGAAAAATATTAGTGTATTTATAAAGCTTTTTGATGAGTATATTCATCCTTTTTTCAGACTAGATTTCAGGTATTTGTGCAGCACCTCTAGTTCTTTAATGGAGAGATTATAAATTGATTGGTAAAAAGATTCTTTTTTAAATATTAAATTAATTGAATGATCATATTATATATATTCTAGAAGTAATCTTACTGTAGCTTCTAAGAAAATATCTTTATATTTATAGTAGGTTTTTAGTATTACTAGCTTTTTATTTAGAACTACACTGAATAGAGTAATTAGTTTATCTTCCTCTAATTAATGTGAATAAATAATATAAGTTATACATCCAACTCTAACTACTACATCTACCTGTTTTATAATGATGATCTCAATGTTATTAACATATAATATATAGTATATTCAGTGTGATTTTAATCATTAGATGTTAGAATCCACAGTTTTAAGCCAGAAGAATCTTAGGATGATATTATAGTTTTTTATATCTATTACTTCAAAGTAAAAGCTCTAATTATGAGAGAGTCTCTCATCATTAATTACACATACATACATCTCATGTCAGTTATAGGTCATAACTTAGTGTCTATTGATTATACTGATTCAGCATGAATTCTTACTGTCTTTTTCAAGATGTGCTTTTATCTATTTCTGGCTGATAAAATTTGCTTTTATACCTGAGTTAATAAGTGTCTAGGTAATGACTAACCCTTGAGGGATTTCTAGCTATATTTTAATTATTATTACTTCTTTACTATATCTTCATCCTATCTCATTCACTTCTAGTACTATAGTAGTACTCAGTACTGAGGAATCTATTTTTTTAACTCATACTTTTTTATGCATTTTTTAGGATGAAGTTCTCAGCAATCATCAGTAATATAATCTAATTTATTATAGTAAGAGTATTTAAAATAAAAAATGAACTTAAATTATAAGAATCAGCCTTTAAATGTATGATTTGAGGATTTTTTCCTTTCAGACTTCATTTTTATTTGGAAATCAAAGAACTTCTTTTTACACAGTAGATTTACAGTGATTTTCTACTTAAATGAGAATAGTTTTTAGTTCTTATAATACTACTCTATCTTACATAGAAATGCTAGTATCTCTTTATAATTCTTAGAGTCTTTCTTCATTAGATGTATATAAATCTAAATTTCCTCTTAGTAGTAGTTTATTAGGTTAGAATTGTACTATTCCTTCTGAATCTTATAGAGTAGGTATTTCTTCAGGTTAAAAAGATACTTAATGAAATTTCAGATGAATTGATTGTTTCATTATCATATATTTATATATCTCTTAGTTAATTACTATTAGAGTACATCTAGATCTATATGATGTAATTATAACTATATATAGAGATTTTTTTAGATAAATAGTAGATTCTCCAGATTTACTTCATAATTTTTATAGAAGATATTCTATTAGTAGAGAGATTTTATAGCAAGCTTCTACATAGCATTCTAAATGTGATGTTTTTTAATAATATAATAATCTTCATTATATTTAAATTTCATTTTAGTTCAGATGATGAAGTTCTCAAGCTCTAACATACTTTTCTCTTAATATTTAGAGAAGGTATTAACCTTTAGATAGATAGTTTAATAGGGTAACTAGGTTATTTCTATATGAGACCTTTTCAAGGTTTAATCTTGAGCTATGATTTTCTCCTGTGTAATTAGTACAGCTACCTCTTAATTCATTAATTTATTTTATACTAGCTAGTCCTCCAGTACTTTTATAACACATTTTGCCTTTTGAATTTTCCATTACATCTATAATTCTTTAATATATTCTTTAATTATATATAGTTATATAGCAGGCAAATATAGATCTTCATCATCTGACTCTTCATTACTCATAGTTAATTCACAATTAGATTCCTACAGAGGATCATGCAGAGGATTTTATAGAGATTTAAGTTATAATTTATTATTACTGATTTCTTACTGCACAGAGAGATTAACACATATTTAAGAGATTTTCCTGTAGTTATTTATAGTCTTTTTACAAGTTATCTTACTATTATTTATCTATTTCTGATGGACTATTCACTCAGGGGTAAGTAAATAGAACTGTAATATCTAACATTAAATATAAAGGCTTTTTGATTCAAAAAGTGGACTATGAGTTATTAAATAGTGTGATGAGAATAGACAGGTAAAAATGTATATATATTTTAAATATAGAGATCATATAGTAATAAGACTGTTTACTGGTTCTTTTCATAAGAAACCTGTATAATATATATATTAATAGCTAGCTACTAAGTGTATATCATATGCATATTGCCAGGCACACCATCAGGCATACTATCAGGCCTGAGGTCTAAGATCTGAGGTCTAAGGATGCAGTTGATCTACATGTAACACACAGTCTTCTTTATGTATTATACTTTCACTTGATGTTAGAGATTAAAGATTTAATTATATAAAGTTAATTCTAAATTCATCTGATTAATATAAACTATAGTGAGCTTCTCTTTAAAAGTATTATTTTAAATTTAAATGTTTTATAGATCATCTATGTAATATCCAGCATCAAATATAAAAGGCTTTTTAATTCAAAAGGTGGATTATGAGTTATTGAACAGTGTGATGGAAATAGACAGGTAAAAATGTATGTATATTTTAAATGTAGGGGTCATATAGTAATAGGACTATTTGCTGGTTCTTTTCATAAGAAACCTGTGCAGCATATATATCAATAGCTAGCTACTAAGTGTGCACCACATGCACATTACCAGGTGCACTGTCAGGCACACTGCTGGGCCCAAGGTCTGAGATCCAAGGTCTAAGAGCACAGTTAATCTATATGTGACATGTAGTCTCCTTTGCACATTATAATCTACTAGCTTCACAATGAATTTCTTATTTATTTAAATAAATTATATGTTTTCATAACAGATAGTATCTCTCATTTATTCTATTATAACCTTATAGTTATATAAAATAGCTTGAAGGATACTCTCTTATACTTCTGAAATCTTATTAATAGAAATTAGATAAAGCATCTATTAGATGACATTCTATAGTTTAGGTAATAATTAGTAGTAGATATTACTAGAGCTCTAATTGTAAGCTTTAATGATGATATTTTATAGTTTATTAATTTAAAATTCATTATTATATTATATAAGGTTTTCAGCTTTATAGAAAAATAAGGAAGATTATTATAAGATATTAGATTCATCTCTTATTTTAATAGATGTTCTTAAGATTTTATATTTATATAATAAGAAGTATAGCTTTCTCTGGAATTACTAGCTATTCCTCTCTTATCTTGAGAAATTACTGAGATTACTATTATTTATATATAACTATATTATTTATCTGAGATTGAGTTGTATGATCTTACATCTAGCTATATAACATTTATATTCTATCTTATAAGAATATTATCTAATGAATTTTAGGTGATTTTATAAGATTATTTGATATAATATAATAAGCTATCTCATCAGTAAAAAGCTATCTTACTTGGCTGTATAAATAGCTAATATTTAAATATATTACTAGATGTGATTCTGAAGGTATCTAATTATATAAAAGCTATTAAAAAGATTATATAATTATATATAATAAAATAAGTGAGATTATAGTATTAAAAGAAATATAATATATAATAATACTAGATAGTGTAATAAAGTTACATATAATCATGTGAACTAATTACATGATTCTGAAAATCATATTATTATATAATTTTTATATTTAATATATATATATATTTTTACCTATTTATTTCTATCATACTGTTTAATAACTTATAATCTATCTTTTTAAATTAAAAAGCTTTTATATTTAATATTAGATATTACATCTTCTTTACATGTTACATTAAAAACTACTATTTATTTAATTATTAAATTAGAAGAATATTACTTCATCTAAAAATCTTTTATATTATATAATTTTATATTTTTTTCTTCTCTTTTCTTTTCTTCTTCAGTGATTTTAACTTTGTATATAGTGTAGCTAGATCTCACCTGTAATAGGAATCTAGCCTGTCACAGAGATTTTTTAAACTAGTTCTGTTGAAACCTTTTTTATAAGTAAAAAGGCAAAGGGATTTCCTTCGGTAACGGCACAGTGGTAGAGTGGTTAATACGTATCCCTTGAATTTTTCAGCCAGGATATCCCTTAGGGGTCGCAGGTTCGAATCCTGTCTGTGTCGATTTTTTTCCTTTTTTTTTATGATCACCAAGAGAATTAGCATCCAGAATTTAAAACTGGCTCTTTTAAAACAGACCTGGCTCTGTCTGCGCGTTGCAGGGGATAGAAGTGGCAAGTATGCGGCTGGTGCCGTCTCTTTGTATGGCCAAGCGCCCACACCGGCTTCGTATTGCCAGGGCAAGCGCCGCTTTCTGCCACTTCGTCTGTGGTCCTCTCCGAAGCGACCAAACACCCGCTGTCATCATTGTCTTCCTGGATCTCCCTTATCAGTCAGTAACATCCTGAGGAACAACCCGCCCGCCTTGCAATCTGTCATTTTATCTGTTGCTTTCACCTGGTGTTCCAGGAGCCACTCACTCGCCTGCATTGCGCCACCTATCTGCTCCTCTTGTGCCTGAAGCTAAGCCAAGGTCAGGTTTCAACTCCCATCAACCTCCGCGTGCCTGGTGATATATTACCTGGCCATCTATCGCCCTTTACCCCCGTAGAAGGCTGCCATTCTCTACCCCTCCCGCTCGCAACATCTGTCCCTCTCTAGCAGCCATGGCTGGCACAAGGAACTACGACTTTTTGGTAAACTGCCTCCGGATACTCTACCTCCGAATTACCTGCAGCTGACGTTTAAAACCCAAGATCAAACTCCTGCTCATCGGCGACTCGGGCGTGGGGAAATCATGCTGCCTCCTGCGATTCAGCGAAGACTCATTCACGCCGTCCTTCATCACGACAATCGGAATCGATTTTAAGATCCGAACGATAGAACTGGATGGCAAACGAGTGAAGCTACAGATATGGGATACAGCTGGGCAAGAGAGATTCAGAACCATCACCACCGCATACTATCGGGGCGCTATGGGAATACTTCTTGTTTACGACGTAACCGACGAGCGGTCTTTCAATAGTGAGTGAACTGGTTTTGGCCGGACTGTTTCTTGACTGAAATCTGGCTAATGTCGCAACCCTTTTGACATAGACATCCGGACTTGGTTCTCAAATGTCGAGCAACATGCAAGCGAAGGTGTCCATAAAATGCTTATTGGCAATAAATGCGACTGGGAAGAGAAGAGAGCTGTATCGACAGAGCAAGGGCAGCAACTAGCGAATGAACTTGGAATTCCTTTCCTTGAGGTTTCCGCCAAGAACAACATAAACGTCGAGAAGGCTTTCTACACCCTAGCAGCCGATATTAAGAAAGTGATGGATTCATCCAAGTCCGAACAACCAGGGCCCCAGGGTGTCAGTATAGACCACCAAGGCGGAGCGGCGGGGAGCGGCATGGGAGGTAAATGCTGCTAGTATTCTGCAAGAATGGGTGGCATGGTTTACATTTTTTTATTTCTCATTTGGTGTAAGCAGACAGTATTCTTTGTTTTCTTTAGAGGGCTCATGAATATTCCCCGGTTTTTCATCACCTCTATCCCTATGGCTAATATCCCCAACAGACCTGTTTCCTGCGGTTTTCGTTCCACGTTGTTGGTATTGTTTTCAATTTTTTATTTTTCTTATTTGATATGATTTCCCCTACGTTCTCCCTGTTTTCTCCCTATCACCATTTATCCTTCTTTTTTTTAGAAAGGCGTCAGTTAGTCTGTTTATTTATAATTTCTCGATTTCCTCCGAACAATCATCTCTCATACCTGAAAGAGGAACAGACGTACATGCAGTACCGACTCATCGGGATTGAGTTGTGCCCTCATCGTATTTTATGTTGTTGATTCGAGCTGAGTGTAAAATCCAACAATGTTGACGATGCATTGCTCACCATAGATAGGCCTGTAACAGCGACATTTTTGATTCTGAAGATAGTATCAAGGAATTGCAGAGCGTATTAAAAATGTGCCATTTCTATTTAGCTTATTATTTGATATATCTGTGATCATTGGTGTGTTTGTAAAGCCAATGCTACAACCTTCACCGCAAGATTGAATTGGAGGATATTGCGTCGAAGGGGGGGTCTTCATTGGTCTTACATAATCTGGCCGTTCGAATGAACTACAATATATCGCCGTGAAATAGGCATTCGGCCTTTACAAGCGGCGGAGGATCGGGATATGGTAGTGAATCAACCCTGGGAAACACACTCCTATGCCATGTGCGAACAAATCGTTTTGCCTCCACCGCCGTCTGAAACACGATGCACCAGTCATTGCCAGGCATGTCCCCTTCGCCTTCATCCGAAGTCAACATCTTGTTTACGAATGGCCCAGTCACCCTTGAGATAGAATCTTCTCCCTCAACTAACTGCCACTCGGCTAACCTGTTCTCCCCATCCTCTCGTAGGATTTGACGAATCGAGCTCTTGGTAAGCGGTAGTGTGGCGTGGCTCTCGATCCGTATTCGAACCGGAAACCCCTGTCCACCGTTGCGACCTTTGGATGCGAGATTATCGTGGAGATCGATTGCGCGCTGGAACTTTTGTCCGAAAGGCGCTAAAAATGCTATTATAGAAGGGGGAAGCCATGGAGTGGTGAGTGTATAGTCGCTTAATGTGTTTTCACGGAGGCCATCGACGGTGTAGTTTGGTGGTGGTGTAATGCTCGACGTAGCGGACCGAGGAACGTTTTTTTGGGCCAATTCGCAGAGTTGGAATGCTTTATCTTGATATTCCTTTGCAGAGGCAGGGTCCGAGAAGATAAGCAGCCAATTGCTCGAGGGACTCAAAGATCGGGAATACCGCATTGGGATTACTAGCAGATCATCTCTTAGTATAAGGCAACGATGGAGCATAGAAAGGATTCCCTCACTTTTCTCGAGCCCCCCAGTACTTTTCCACCCGCTGGAGCGCATCTCAGACCCCAAGACCGATAGGAAATCCCGTTCGACAAGACATTCAGGGGCTCGCTGTAGGACGAGGGCGGTCTTGTGTTTTTGGCGACTCTCCTTCTCAGATGTGATGTGAATCCGCCCCGACGGCCCGATCTCAACGCCGTGGCTGTCGGACTGCGGTATCTTAGCCAGGCCGAAAAGTTCAAGCAGGTCAGATCCTTCTAGGGCTGACTCTGAGTGTCCTGGATCGGACCGCGCTGTGTCATGGCTTCGGACGCGTTCTTCGGTATAAATTGCCCCGTCAACATCCTGCGGAGTCGCCCGGGGCGTTTGAGGCCAATCTTGTCGTTTCTGAGGACGAATCAACCTGGACGCTGCGCGCCATTGCGATATCTCGACGCGAAGGGAGCGGGTTGGGATGGTCAAACTCCTGAGGCGGCAGAACATACTGGGCTATGGCAAAGAGCAAAGATCCATCATATCATGGCTGCAGGTTGGCGAATGTTTTCTCTCGCCGAAGATGCCCCCCGAGTAATGACGGCGATCGTGTTCCTTGACTGAACAGCGGCGTGTGAAGAGCTCTGGAGAGGTTAAGAATTTACAGGGACTGAGACTAAAGTTTTTGTTATCTTATCTGATTAGGGCTGGCATTCAGCGCCAAAACGCAAATTTTACCCAACGACAGAGCATTATTTCAACTATCCCCGCTCTGATCATTATTGCTATTATGGCTGTTTGATCCCCTGGGGCTGGAAGCTACATTGCATGTTCGGAAATTCTTGTCAATTGTTCATTGAATAACAATGTCCTGTGGGCGTGGTGGTCTCGGTATTTTCTATTTCCCCCAGCAGGTTTTCAACTGGGAACGAACAATTTGGTTAGATATTTAAACATCTGCCTTCGTCTTTGCGGCTTCAATCATCTATTGAACAATTGCCGTAAAGATCAAAATGGCCGAAACACCGAAGTTCACGGTGCGGCCTCTTTCAAAGCAGCCTAGAAACGACTACAGAGAATCCTTTCGCATCTGTCTCTCCTCTTCTTCTCTACTGTTTATCAAACTTCGGCCTGGCGACCTATGCCGACTGGAATCCGCGGGAGGCAGCCCGAAAACCGCCATCGCGTGGTCATCCCCTGAGAAACTCCCAGACACTGTCGTACAAACCTCCAAGGTCCTACAAGACCTGTATGGGCTCAAACTTGGGGAAAAAGTTGCAATTTCTAAGGAAACCGAGCCGCTAGAAGAGATATCTATCGTCCGTCTCGAAGAATGCACCGATGCGGCTAAACTTGCTGCCCAAGGACCCCTGATCGAAGCAGATAGGGCGCATTGGGAATGGGGCCTTGAATACCCTTTGTCGAAGTGCGAGATAGTTTCGGAGGGAATGGTATTTGATATTGAACTCAAGGCCATCCGCAAATCTTTCAAAGTCGTGGAGATCGCCACGTCGAACCCGGGCCGGAATAATACCATTTTCCAATTTAATGGTAAATCTAAGGTTCATATCGGAAAACCTTTGGAACATTCGATTCTGCCCAACTCCCTTGCCGTCACTTTAGCAGGGCTAGGGGGCCTCGACCAGCAGGTCACACAGATCAATGAAAGGCTAAGGGACTTTAGTCTTCAAGAACATAAAGTGTCTATGCCATCATTCTATCGGAATAGCGGTGGAATCCTGATATATGGGCCTAAGGGCACGGGGAAAAGCGCGCTGCTGTCCAACATCAGCGCGGCTGGTTGGAAGAAAGTGCTCACAATCAATAGTTCTGTTCTGAACAGAAATAAGGGAGATGGAGAGGTCCTACTGCGAAAGATCTTCTCTGAGGCCGTTCAGTCCCAGCCGAGCCTTATTGCTATCGACCAACTAGGCTTTGTTGCCCCGAAAGCTAGCCCCAATGAATCATCTATCTCGTCAGCACTATGCGAGGCCATGGACACCCTCCAGGATTCGAAAGTCCTTGTTGCTGCATGCACAAGGCATCCTAATGATGTTGACGATGCCTTGAGGACACCTCATCGTTTCGGCGTTGAGATTGAGCTACCAGTCCCAACCGCCAAGGGCCGAGAAGCTATATTACTTGCCATTCGGGGACCATCTCTGGTGCCAGATGACAATCAATTGGCGAAATTGGCGGAGCGAACTCATGGATACGTCGGAGCGGATCTCTTTTCCCTTCTGCAGCTCTCATGTAGAAAAGCGGAAACTCGGCAAATATCGAACATGGAGCACGAAA